TATATTTTTATATTAAAAAAATAAAATGTTAACTGTAATTCTAGTAATAAATCTTCCTTTATTTGCGCAAAATAATAAACATTTTATTGTTCCATTTTTTTTTTTGTAATAATTTTAATTTTCTTTCCTGTATAAAATTAAAAATTAAGAAATGTAAAAAGAATTTGTATAACTTAAGGATAGAAACATTTATAAAAAAAATTTTCCCCCACGAAGAATCGAACGTTTATAACCGGCGCATGAAGCAGAGACGATACTATTTACAATAAATAAAAAAACGGCGTACCATACGGATACACCTTAGAACATTTTTTATGTATTTTTCAATTATCTACAATTTTTGTTTAAAACTTTTTTCGATTAAATGCATAGATTCTAAAATATGGCTTTTTTACCCTTTTTCTCAAATATCTCCTGATCTAATTGCAAAAAAATTAGCACCACTCGATTCAGCGTCGTCGAATTACCATTATATCAAATTTTAACAAGGCCGCTAAATTTTCCAAGTTCTCCTTTTGTTGCCTGGACTACATTGTTTTTATGCCGAAAGGCTTTTCCCTGACGAGCCAAATAAAGCGTACTTTTAAGTACTGACTGGGCTCAAATACATTTGTTATTGTGTTTTATTTTCCTATTTTCCTTCCCATTAATAAACAATATCGATATTACCCGTGAGGACATTTTTCGATTCACTACAATTAACTGGAGTTCCGATTAAGGTATCGGTCGTATCAACAACAGGAGCTATGAAACGTTTTTTTTTAAGCTTTAAAGCGTATACTTACTTATAAAAAGTTTTAAGTCCCAAAAGTTTTAGCAAACATCATTTATATTTTCACAACTGCAGGATAAAAAAAAAGAAATAATCACTTTATTTAAACTTTTTTTGGTTACTTTACGTGTAAAATTCTATTCTTTTTCGACAAAATTCGATTGGAGTCCACCTAACCTCTATTCTGTCTAGTTTCTAATAGCACATTTTCACCTATGCTTAAAATTTTTTAATATATTTAAAAGAAATTTTCGCTACTTTGTGAATTAAATCGTAGTTAAAAACTATAAAATTTCTAAAAATGTGCTATTTAACAGAAGCTATGGAACGTTTTTTTTCCATCTTTAAAGCGTATACTTACAAATAAAAAGTGTTAAGTCCGAAAAGTTTTTGCAGAAACATCACTTATATTTCGACTACTGCAGTCTGAAAAAAAGAAAAAATCATTTTTTTACAACTTTTTTAAGTTACTACACGTGTAGAATTCAATTCTTTTTTGACAAAATTCGATTGTAGTAAACCTAATATCTATTCTGTTTAGTTTCTAATAGCACATTTTTACATTCGCTAAAAATTTTGTAATATATTTAAAAAAATTTTTGCTTCTTTAAGAATTAAATCGTAGGTAAAAACTATAAAATTTTAAAAAAAGTGCTATTTAACAGAAGCTATAAAACGTCTTTTTTCAAGTTTTTAAGCGAATACTTACAAATAAAAAGTGTTAAGTCCGATAAAATCTAGCCAATGTCATTTATATTTAAACAACTGCAGTCCAAAAAAAGAGGAAAAAATCAGATTATTAGAAATTTTTATGGTTACTTTACGTGTAGAATTCCATTCTCTTTTGACGAAACTCGATTGTAGTCAACCTGACATAAATTCTTTTTAGTTTCTAATAGCACATTTTTGACGTCGCTAAAAGAATTTTAATATATTTAAATTACTTTTCGCTTCTCTCTGGAGTGAACAGTAGTTAAAAACTATCAGATTTCTAAAAAAGTGTTATGTAACAAAAGCTATAAAGCGTTTTCTTTCAAGTTTTAAAGCGTATAATAACAAATAAAAAGTGTTATGTCTAATAAAATCTGGCAAAAATTATTTCAATTTCCACAACTGCAGTTCAAAAAAAACAAAAATCATTATATTACAACTTTTTTTGGTTACTTTACGTGTAGAATTAGATTCTTTTTTATAGAAATTGGATTGTAGTCACCCTAAGATCTATTCTGTTTTGTTTCTAAAAGCACATTCTTACCGTCGCTAAAAATTTTTTTATTTGTTTATAAACGATTCTCGCTACTTTGTGGATTAAATCGTAGGTAAAACTATAAAATTTCTAAAAAAGTGCTATATACCAAAAGTTATAAAACGTTTTCTTTCAAGTTTTAAAACGTATACTAACAAATAAAAAGTGTTGAGTCCGATAAAATCTAGCAAAATACTATTTATATTTCTACAACTGCAGTCAAAAAAAAAGGGAAAAAATCATTTTATTACAAATTTTTTTGGTTACTTCACGTGCAGAATTCAATTCTTTTTCGGCAAAATTCGATTGTAGTCAACCTACAACCGAGGGGTACCTCCCACTTGGTTGTGCTGGGCTCGACGTCGGATGCCGCGGGACTCCTCGCTGGCAGTCTACCGGCAACCTTAAAACTCTTAACTCAAAAATATTACCTTAATTTTAATAACCTCTATTTCAATATTATATATTCATACGTTTTGGTGCCTGAGAGTCTTTCTTCCTATAACGGCCTAAGACAACTCTTTCTAGATTTGTCTTTATTGTACGTTAAAATAAGAGCAGTCTTTTTTAAGATACTCTTCTTGTTTTATTAGCTTGAAAGACAGACTTCTCAATTATTTTGTTAATTTTTTGTAATTATTTGTTTAACTTTTAAGAGTATACTTTGACTTTACCTGTTAATTAAGTGATATTATTTTAACGGCTAAAACCCCTAATACACCGAAATTTTGCGACCGTTTAATCGACGCAATCGATTCAGAAGCAGTTAGGTCCGTGGATTATCAGGATTTGGCACAATTCGTTCCAGTGGTCATCTTAATAATTTTTCTGGGGTAAGTACACCTCATTCTTCTTTTAAACTTACGAGTGCTAGCTCTTCTAGCCCGGATCCCTGATAGAGTACCGGCTTTACGGACTGACCGAGTATAGGGCAAATTTTTGTGGGGTTTCTCGTTTTACTCGTTTAGCTGCGGGGACGTCACATAACAAAAACTGGTGACAGCGGTGGGATCGCGAAACGGAAGACTTAGCTTCTTAAGTTTTTTTTTTGGCTCTTTTTTAATTTTTTCTTTGCATTTTTAGAACCTTTAACTTTTGTTCCGTAACTTTAATTTGCAAAATTTAAAATGTCGCAAAAGCAAGGGAGAATTAGACCGGATACTCCAATGAATGAGGAGGCTATGATAGAAAAGACATCTAGGCTTAGCGACATAGATTCGGTAATGCGTAAGAGAATGGAAAAAATTATGAATATTCAAGATATACTTAGTAAAACGCAAGAAGAGAAACTTAAAAAACAAGAGGATCTTAGGAAAAGGGAACTTAAACTAGAATATAGGGAACGGAGACTCGCGGTAAAAGAGGAGGAAATTAGAAAGTCCTTAGGTGATGATATGTCCGGTTTTCGCTGTTTTGAACGGTCTGATCCTCCGGTGGACTTCTCTGTTCCGTTGCCTTTTATTCCTTGTTCTTTGCGTCAAATTTCTTCAACGACAGTTTCAAAACAGAGATCCATAACACCCCTTTCCGAAAGCGAGGGCAAATTAAAAAGGGAAGTCGTGGATTTAAGGCGAAGGATTAGAGAAATGAAAGAAATGGCTCCATTTGCTTCTCTTCCCAGCTTATCACAGTCTTCGTTAAAGTTACGGGAACTTATAGAA